CATGAACAATAGTTTATCTACACTTAAACATAACAAAAATAATGCCCAACTAGAGGGTAGTGTTAGGAATCTTTTCCAGATCAATTACTTTAAAACGGTTTACTATAACTTTATTATATTACATTTCGTAAGACATTCTAAATTAATTATTATGTTTACGGCTTACTCACGAAATAATTTGACGATATACTCGACTAGTTCCAAGGCATGCTATAGGCCCATATTCATGATCAGCATTCCGCGACACACGACGCGGCGGCTGTCGCGCTGCTACTAATTACGAATTTAATATGAATTATTTTGTAAAAACGACAACAGTCTTGAAAATCAAAGAGCTGAAATTTACAAATATACTATCCCAACTTTCTAGCAAATAAACTTGATAGTCAAATGGAAATCGAACTCATTTTAAGCTCAGTACTTTATACACCACTACACCAAAGCGAAAGTTCAGAGAAAATCTCTCTCAGTTTTGCTTGATTGAGCACATAAGATTCTATTTATTGGAATACCGTTTGAGTTATTTGTCGATTTGTTATGAAACAGCTCAGAGACTAAGACGGCTCTATTGAGTCTAAGTATCATTGGTTGTCAGAAAGAAAGTATCTTATTTAACAGAACATTAAGCAACAGCTACTTTGTATAATAGAACATTTAATTTTAAAATACGAACTGTAAAACAAGTTCGTTATTTAGATTTCTGGATCAATTGGTTTATTTTTTACGCGACTTTTTGAAGAGAATTTATACTGATAATACCATATTAGTTCCTTATCTTACTCATAGCGATTTAAAAAGTTTTAGTAAGCAACATCAACTTTTGTCGAAATACAGGGCGTAGAAAGACACTTAACGAAGCCGAAAGCCACGTATTCTACAAATTATTTGGTTCATTTTTTCTTTAAGACCATTGCTGGGACTCCACGGGTTCTCGAGATATTTAAGGTCAAATATGCATTTTTAAAATCATCAATCATTTTCGAAATCGAATTCTAAGTATTATAACAAAACTTTTTTCCAAATAAACGTTACCTGAATTTTCGATTTTTCTAAATAAATTACGCATTTGAAGTTACGAACAGTAATGTACGTAATAAATAAATGCAGACCCGCACAAAAAACGACGTGCATCTCAGTAGGGTTTTTATTTTACAGAATTGTTTTGTTGTTGCGAAGTAAAACGTCGACCTACGTACTTATCACAGCGTTTTAATGCTAAGCTGTGAACCTACGCACACAATGACACGAAGCCCGTTTGCTTTACATTGAGCGCAATCATTTTTTTTTTGATACCTAAAAATACAAGTCGTTTCCCAGTGATAATTTTAGCGTAAAGCTACTTAGTTAGAACTGCAGTATGCGTAGTTAACGGCTTCGTTAAGTGTCTTTTTACACCCTGTATAAGCTTCTATACATTATCCGCGTCATATTTAAATATGTTTAACTATTTACATATATGATAAAGTGTCAGTAAAAGTCTAACAACCTTATTATCCTCCTCATATAAGGAGTTTTCATGCCAACATTCCAATCTTAAACTGCAAAGGTTTTTATTGATACCAGTCCAGTCAATCAATAGGATAGCTACTTTCAGTACCCTCTTTGCCTCGGCCATAACAATTATATTAAAGAAATTAAATAATTAATTTCAGGTGTTCATAAAATCCGAGCTGAAGGTCGGAGTGATATATGTTAAAGAGAACCAGTACACAGAAGAAGAAATTCTGGACAATAATGAAAACTCGCCGATGTTTGAAGAGTTTTTGCAAGTTTTAGGAGAGAAAGTCAGACTTAAAGGTGAGGTGACTTTGAATTCCTGCAGTAGGCAGACAACAATACAACTTTTAGTAAACAATGAAATCCAGATGCAGCAAATTTTCAATCAATACAATATGTTCCTTAAAAAATCTCTCAAGGTTTATTTTTACTTATTACAAAACGAATGGAAATGAAATAATAAATGGGTTATTGGAATCAACAAGTTTTCCAATCAAATCAGTGAAAATTGGAACCTCTTTTTAAGCGTAACACAAATACAGTATCAACAACAGTACAATTCAAAAATTCAAAATCAACACACAAATACAGTTATAAATAATTATTTTCATTGATAACTCTGTTTCCAGGTTTTGATAAATACAAGGGCGGCTTGGACACCGTCCATGACCTGACTGGCTTATACTCAGTATACACAAACTGGAGAGGTATAGAAATCATGTTCCACGTGTCAACTCTACTGCCTTACGAGAGGCACGACCCACAAAAACTACAAAGGAAGCGACATATAGGCAACGATATAGTATGTGTCGTTTTCCTGGAAGCCGATAACACTGCGTTCTCTCCAGCCTGTATCAAGAGCCACTTCTTGCACACATTTATCTTAGGTAAGGAATTTGAAAGAAAGAAAAAGTGTTCCTGAATTTTTGTATTGAGTCTCTCTCATATATCCCACGTTATTGATGACATTTCACTATGAACTACTACCACTACTACTAGTACTAGAACCTACAAGAAATAATCGCAAGAATCCGTGATAAAGGAAATTTTCATTAATTTATTAACCATCAATTTTGACTTCACACTTGACGCGGCTGCCGTGCAATGTGTCGCGGGTTCGATTCCTGCACAGAACAAGTTAGCCTTATTGTGATTCGACAAATTGTTGTTCTGGGTCTGGATTGGATGTATATTGAAATTTATTTGTTTGGGAACGCAGTAACGCACCCACGACATAAAAAATAAGCGTAGTGTGGAGCTAAGTTTTGTTTTAAAATGCATATAAGATTATTCCTACGGAAACTGCAGACCATGCACCCAGAATTGCACCATGTGTTCAGGTTACATTGTGGAAATCCATACTTATAGAATGGATACTAAATTAACCTTATAGTAAAGGAAAAATACCTAGCTTTAATTCCAATGCGAAAACTTTAATTGGTAGGAGAAGCTGGCAGTATTTACCAGTACTAGCTAGCTGATGACAATATTTGGAATAAAAATAGTAATGTCTTGTTTATGTATACTTTATTTTTTTATCTAAAATTGCTATTAAATATTTACAGTTCGAGTATCAGCAAAGATTAAACGCAGACCGACAAGGTACGAAGTGTCAGTGGTGACTCGAGATGAAGTGGGCGCCTACAAACCTTACTTGTGGGAGCAAAGCGTCTTCGACAAAGGACCTATGTTCAGGTAATTAAACATAATTAACCGTATCTTAGATATTAAAAGAATCACTTAAATTGGTTTACCGTATTTTTGGAATTACAGTGTTTACCTACTTTATATTACATTACATTGGGTACCTTTCTGAGTAAAGAGCTCATCTTTTGTCTTATATTTTGTTTCGCGTAAGCGCCTTTATTATAATAACGCCAGAGCGTTAGTACGGCTCACCCCTTAAACCAGCCCTGTGCTATAAACCCCTATATTAATTATAGCTTCCGCACGCGGCTTCGCCTGCGTGGTGGATAAAAAGTAACCTATGTATTACTACAGAGTATGACCTATCTACATAGCCATTGATACATGACATACCAAGGTACTTAATCTCTTGTTTTGATCGCATTTTAAAACGTTTTAAACTTTCTGAATCTGATACCGTAAATCTTATACAAAACTCCTTTATTATATAGGCGGAGACTTACACCCGGTATCCGAAAGGCCGATCAATGTTAAAATCAATTTAATCTCTTGTCAAGTCATCTGATTGGTTGACTGAATTATCAACAACCAATCAGATGACTTGACAAGAGATTTAACAGGAGATTAGTTAATTTTAGCGTTGACGAGCCTTTCAGAAACCGGGTGTTAGAGACTTATACCAAATTTCTTCGATTTCACTTTTTCTATTTCTTACAATCACTTATAATATTATTATCTATTCAAAGAAACCGCAACAAAATACGTCGCGTAGTTTTAAAGATTTAAACATACATAGGATAAAGGAATTTGGAAAGCGACTTTGTTTTATACTATGTATCGATTACCCTTGTCTAATTCAAAACACAAAATTGTTGACGTGGTTACACTTAACTTGAGGCTAAATATTGGTTTAGTTAGCTTATCAACTCGGCAGTTAACTGAGTTTACACCAATATCTACACTGTTACCGAAACGCTTTACTGAGAACTGCATCTAACTGTTGCACTTTAGTTTTAACCGACTTTGATCAAGTTATAATTGACCGCAGTTGAAAGCTTAAGCGAAGATACATAATGAATAGAATAACTAGTATTTAACTAATAAAGTCTATATTGCTGAATAGGAATTAGTCGAGTCAGACTTTTGAAGTCAGGTTTACATAAATAAAGTTTAAGTACCTAGTTTAGTATACTGATGTTTTGAAGGATTTATATGAATAGTTACACACGTCTTTATAAAAAAATGGTTAATAGGATTTAGTATATAGAAAATAACCATAAGATATATATATATATATATATATATATAATCATTTATTTCAATTAGACCCCTAAGGCACTTTCTTTTAAGCGTCAAGCAAAATTTTAAAGTCTGTTGGTCAGTCCTCTTAGTAAAACTATTTATTTATAAAGCTATTTTAATATCGCAAGACATACTAAAATAATTAAAAAAACAACGACTAATTACGTGAATTGTCAGCTATGTCGCAATAGAGTTTCGTTGTCTCTTATTATTTCTAAGTTAATTCGCGTGAGTATGTCGTTATTTTCAATAAATTAAGAAAATAACCTGCTTTAGTAAGATGTTTTTTTTAGGAAATTCATGGTCTCTAGGAGGAGACGGACACAGACAGAGAGTCAGACTCTTACTGAAAATATCTATAGAATTCCATTTAAATCAGCTACATAAAAAATATGCTTGTATCAACACAACAAGCAGCATTCAGTCAAGGCAGAATAGGTAGAATTCCTTAGTCAACTTTTGTCAATATGTAATCATATATTTCCAGGGAATGGTTGCTGACTAAAATTGTAAACGGAGAAAGAGCTTCGTATTCCGCGCCGAAATTCGCAAGAATGCAAGAAAGGACCCGGAGTCAAATGCTCGAAGACATCGTTGCTAACTTGCAGAACCATGCTGAAACTGGACAGATACCGAAACCTTACCGAAGAGGTTAGAATTTGTTTATACATTCAATTCATCATCATCATCAAACCCCAAGCGAACACGCACCTATTGTTCTTCTATTGTGTCTTAAATTACCACGATTGATTGGCTTATTATTACTTACACACTAAAAACGATATTACAAGGATTCAAAGAGACAATATTTTGGTTTTATTGATGACGATATGATTAATTTACGGATGGATTCTACATCAAAGTCATCATAGAAATTGGTATTGGTATTTGCACTTTCATGTATATTTTCAATAATTTGTGCAAGGAGTCAAGTTTTTGTTTTAACTTATTACAATAACAAAATTACCATACAAAAAATTTTAAAAAGTTGACTGTCACGTCTTCGGTCTAATTACCGCAAGCGCAATTGCTGAGCAAACAGGTCCCAGTTACGATATTCGGACTGAAAAATTTATGATGCTAGATCTTTCTTATTTATATTTTTCTCAATAATAAAACGGATTATGCACTTTCTTCCTCAGGGTCATGGCGTCCCATTGGTCACATGCGACCGTCTTCTCCACTCCTGGACTCGGTGCGGGACCAGTTCGAGGACTATGACCAGCTTGCAAAGGACTTCACAAGGGTGTTCCTCAACGGTGAACTGAACATGGCACAGAACGCCCAACTATTTGACGTGGTTTTCCTGGTGGGACAGTCGAAGCAGAAAACCAAGTTTATTGGTGTCAGAGCCATACTTGGTGTGAGAAGCCGGTGATTATTTTCATTTAATACTTTGTCAAATATCTATATAAAAACAGTATACATTTCTCGTAATCTTGTTGTAGTCTTTACATTCCCTTAAAAGTATACTACCAAATTATTTACTATTTTATTTTTTATTTATTTAAACTTTATGCACAATGGCACATAAGCGGTCTTAATGCCAAAGGCATTTTCTCAAAATAATATTTTAATAAGCATTTATGACATAAGAAAATAATACTTATTCGACTAGTGGTACACTCGTCTTCTCAAGTAAAAACTCAACAAAGGAAACTATTAAGAATCTTATTTAATTATATCTCATATTAAATTACAGGGTATTCCAAGAGATGCTATACGGCATCCAGACTGGTTTCGGTTCCCCCCAAGTCCCGGTAGCTGAACTGTTGGCACGGCCAGCACCCACACTTCTCTCTCCGACACCTGCAAGGCAAAAAAGTAGCAACTTCTTGCAGGTTCCTGATATTGAATCACCAAGGTAAGATGACATTTTTCAATTTCTTCTTTCCTAGAACAGCACACAAAGAGACGGATCCTCTGTTGTTTAGTAATCAGTGCTTCATGAACATCTACCTTCACTATTAGAGAAGTCATGAGAATTTTGACATTAAGTAGCTTCTACCGCATAAGTGGTGATAGCTTTGGGGGTTAAGGATTGGATTAGGAGTAACATTATTAATATTGTCAGTGGGAACTAACTGAGTACCTTCCTTGCCAAAATCTAAAACAAATTATTCAAAGCCAAATCATTGATTTGATTTAAATTATATCGAAAGGTTAAACTTTATGCGTGTCCGTCTGTCCGTCTGTCCTCCAGTGAAGCTATTTGCTCGTGCCAAAGTATCGAGATTAGTAAAGTGCAGGTATTATTAGTATAAAGATGGAAACTAAATATTAACCTAGAAAGTCCATAATATACATTTGGCTACTGAGATCATTAAAATTGCTACATACTTATATTAAACACATAGCTAAGGCCAAAAATAAATCTATCATAACTCTGGCCAGAAAACGATTTGCAATAAGATATTATTGTTTTAATGATTCATCATACTTAGTCATCAGATATTGACACATAATCGAATCTGACTGCCAAGAATGGAAGTCCATACAAGTGAATTACTTATGTCAAGCATCTTAACGATTTTATGCCAGCATCGTTCCAATTATTGGTTATAGTAAGACTGAATACGAGATTTTTCGAGATCATATAAGTACATTGAAATATAATATATTCTATTTTTTTTTTTGTTTTTAATCTTTATTGATAAAGGGCTTTAATCGCAAAGCGATGATGCCAGCCCCATAGAAAAAGTAATAATAATAATAACAAAAATAATTAATAACTAAGATCTTAACTTAATTAATTTAACAATTAGACAACATATCTTAAAAGCTAATTTGATATCTTCTAATTAAGGAACGTAACTTTATTTACGTACCTATTAACTTATAGGTATATATTACAAACATAATAGCACTAGACTAGTAACATAAGTGTAGTGGAAGATACTAGTTGAAAACGTTACTATTGGAAGCAATAATAAATGTTTCACATATAACTACTAACATAATAAGACCCATTAATATTCTTTTTTTTTGGAACATAATATATCACTGCTTACTAAAACTACTGCAACTCTCGTAAGCTTGGATCTGCAGTAAATACAACCATGAAAATACCGAAACACTGAAGTCAAGAGCGTCCTAGGGACATGAATAACTTTCTTGAATCCGGCAACGAAATAAATCAAAAGATATTATTTGAGAAGAAGAAAAAACTTAATATTTTCCACTTTCCGCTGTAAATTTAATGCAAGAGACAGAATGACTAAAGCCTTAAAAGCACAAAAGTGACTGTACAACTGGGAGAAGCCCAGTCACCTAACACCACAGATTTTCTATTGTAATAAGACCTATGTGTGAGCTGATATATTTGGTTCCACTTTCCAGTGTGTACGGCAAAAACGTCTAAAAGGAAATCTGTTCTACATTCCACAAGGTCAAAATAAAAATTACATCTGAAAAGACATTTAAATAATGTAACATAGTGTTACGTTCGTGTGTGATACTAATTTCCTTTTTAATTAAATCTGGTGTTTGGGTACTGGGCTTTTCCTAGTTGTGTAGTCTTTATGTGCCACATCATTCTATCTCCTGCATAACCATATCACCGTCACCCAGAGAATAAAAACCTATTCCAATAATATCTGCTGATTTTTTTCGTGCGACATCCAAATCAATTTTAAGTGTGGGAGAGCCATGGCTCTCCCACGAATGGGGCACGAATGGGTCGGCTTGACCGGAGTGATAGAACGGCCTGACAGAAAACCGGCATGAAACAACCACAGCGTTGTGTTTCGCCGTGTGAGTGAGATTACCGGAGGCCCAATCCTTACTCTCCTCCAATCACTCGTCAATTCCTAAATCTCCAAATCCCTAATCCCTAAAAGATCGGCAACGCACTCGTAACTCCTCTGCTGCGCGTGTCAATAGACGGTGCTGATAGCTTACCATCAGGTAATCCGTCTGCACGTTTGCCGACCTATTAAATAAAAAAAATCTATTGTTTGTATCCCTATGATGAGTCTGACTTCAATATTTCCGCGTTTTCACGGTTGTATCTACGGTGGATCCTATCTTACAGGAGTTCTAGCGGTTTTAGGAAAAATATGTGAGAATAAGTTCATTGGATTGTCGCACGAGTTAAAATGGTTTTAATATGATATTACCAAACAGACTAGCTTAAAATGATTGTTTTAAAATTTCAGACCAAAAAGCGTTCCTAGTTCACCAATGGTGAAACGAGCTTTCTCCAGATTGGGCACCATTACAGCAGGCTGGGGACGATCCATTCGCAAGCAACACTCGCAACTTAATGCAGAAGACAAAAAGAAATGGGCCAGTTCCCAAGATTGTTCTAGTAAGTATCTACATCTGTATTAATAACCGATAGTTGTGCGTGTAGAAGTTTGCTGCTTATTAGTAGCTTGTATATCGGCAGTCAGTGTTGCCAGAAAAAAAATTTTTCTATATCCTCAACATGTCTTTACCTAAGTAACAGAATGTGATAGAAAATATCCCTGTAATTTTACACAGACTGCTAGCTAGTAGCCAACTTTATTTTATTGTTATAACTATATTTGAGAACTATAGTTTGTAGTATTTACATGCAAAGCATGTTACATTGCACAACGCATTCATAATCTGGTTATGTCACCATGTCCTGTATTGGTTCTATTTCCATCCTACAAATACCTACCATTGTGTTTATGAATACAATTTGTAATGACTTTGTTTTACAAAATATATGTAAATACAATGTGGGACATTCCTAAGCATACAACAAAGCGCCTTAAATAAATCAGTGAGCAACGTTTATCAAACTAGTGATGTTTCATATTTAATGAGTGGTGTGTAACGTAAAACTATAATTACTGTTGCAGATAAAGAAGGCAAAGATAAAGAAAAAGATAAAAATGCAGCTCTTGCTGTACCCAGACTTTCCGTGTGCGCTGACGCACAAAAAGTCGATCGAGCAAAACTGGCGCAAACTGAGGTAAATAAAAAAATCATCTATTTTTAAATTTCGTTCTTTAAAAATAACATTGAACATACATCTGACTATTTTTAGCTATAAATATACGTAATTTTTTATAGAATCAGGCGTTACTTTGACATTAATATGTTAGGGAAAATATTTAGTTTTAATTCCGCGACAAAAATCCAGGCTTGTTGCAGGATGCAATCCCACTCCTATGCAATCATGCATATGCACATGCAGCAAGGGTCCCACCCTCCTGCCCACATGCATACGCCACATGCAGACGAGCGCTCGGCTCATCAGCCGAGCGCTCGTCGAGTCAACATCTCCTGAGGATGCCCTGTGGAGGGGCGAAACACGTGTCGAGTATAGGTTTGATTGCGTGGCATGTTTTTCCGTTTTGTGTATGTGTGCATATGCATGTGGGCGGGAGGGTGGGACCCTTGCTGTATGTGCATATGCAAGATTACATAAGAGTGGGATTGCATCCTGCAACAAGCCTGGATTTTTGTCGCGGAATTAAAACTAAATATTTTCCCTAACATATTAATAAATATACGTAACAATTGTTCTATTTATTTTCCAGTTTTCAATAATCGAGTTCGATCCCGAAACTTTCCGCATCCTCCTGGACTACTTGCATACCGGCAGCTGCCCGCTGACCTGCGCCTCGATACCAGGCCTCATTTGTGCTGCTGAGCATTACGACCTGCCTGAATTACTACAGGCGTGTTTCCACCATGCTAAACAATTCCTTAGAATAGAAGTGGTATGCACGATGCTCATATCATTAGAAAATTACTACTGGCGATATACGTCAGCCTCGGAGTTGGTAAATATGATACTGGCCTTCATCGAGCAGCGAGCGTACGCCCTGTTCCAGACTCCGGAGTTCCTCAACCTGTCCGAGTCCATGGTGCAAATGATCATGTGCCGGAATCTCGAGGTGCCGGAGGTGAGGAAGTTCGAGGCGATGCTCAGCTGGGCCCGGAATAAGATCAAAGCCAAGTCCGCTAATAAGACTGATGCCAAAAATGAATTTAAATGCACAATGGAAAGATTAGCTAGAGACCTGAAGCTGTATAGGATTTCACCGCAAGAGTTGATAAAGGTGGTGCTCCCGTCGAAGGCTATAAAGAACGAGCGGATCCTGGAGACGCTGATGTACCAGGCAAACTCGGGCATGTACAGGATTCAGGACAGCTACATCGAGGCCTGCCAGCAACGCCTGCAGAAACAGGATTCGAGGTTCTCGGAGTTCGAAAGTTTTGACTACGGTATATAAACATGGAGCTGTGAGATATATCAGTGTATTAGATAGATTATGAAGAGTGACTGGGCTGGGTCCTTCTATAATGTGGTATGTTGACGCCTTCTAAAAGTATTATTGTTATAGATGTACTCGAATACTGTAGAGGTACGAGAAATATTTGTACACTTCTCGGGTACCTATTCCATGTTATTGTTCATTGATACCTATATTTTTACATCTAGCTAGATGTGTTCAATATCATAATCATCTCTATTTTTGGTACCAAGAATTACGATAAAAGTTTTAAAACGTTCATCAACTGGAAATGAAAATTTTACTTGAATATATTATTTACATCCATGTTATAGCACGTTTTAAAGATTTTCCCTCTGTGGTCTCCGATGGAAGAGCACAACACGGTGTAATTATACCATATGTAGTAAAAATATTGTATATGGATAAAAAATAATATTTTCGAGTACCACTTGTTATAACCACATCAATGAGATAGTTTGACATTCTACTAACGACTGAATCCAGGACCTGAACATGTTCAACATTGTACAGTACTATACAAAACTTGATAAATAAAATATATTATAATAATGTTCACAAAACAATAAATTTGTGCAAATTGTACAAACACTACCACTTAATAATGTTATCCGTAGAATAAAGTTCTATATTTGTGTGAAACTCCTTCTTGAAACCACTACAAAAGTTATCATAGATAATGCCTTCTGATATATGTATGTATAGAATGTTATACCTACCTATATGTATACTGTTGTTGTATGTACGTATAAAGCAAATAACATTTTGAAGAAAAATGTCACCAATTTATGCTAATTTGAATTAGTACTACAGCAAAATATATTTTATTAGTAGTAAAGAATATGGTTTGTTTTGAAAAAAATGATAATAAACTTTTATCGCTCGCACAATTTTTATCCACAAGCAAAGCTTTAATTTTATTAAGTACTAAACTTGTATTTTATCTTATTTTAACTTGAAGTGTACCCTTATTATGTGTAGAGAAATGAATCCACATATGTTATAGGATATTTATTTGTCTGAATGTAGAAGTACTTATACTAAAAAAATTGGAGAAAGATTCAAATGCGTCACGGAAACCATGTCTCCATTACATTTGGTCGTTTCGTTAGAAATTCGCCCCTATCTGTGTTCGATGGAATAAGTAATGTATAGAAAGTATATGTACCTAAATGGTCTAAAATATTTCGTATACTAGGTGTAATGATACGATTAATATCGATTACGTAACGCCTTTGTAATCGATATATTGTATGTAGTAGATAATATAGCAGGGTGTTTAACCTAGGTTTAGCTTGGATTTGATAGCCGAATTTGGCCAACGACCAAGTGTAAATGAAGCGTCACTAATGATCGTTTTTGTCTCGAAATATTATATACTTGTAATGAACGATGACAGTTCACATATGATAATCGTGATGCTCTTTGGAAAACTGAATTGTGCAGTCTGTGCTTAGGATAAGTTTAACTTATGATAACACATACAGACTGCATAGATATAGTTTATACAACTAGAGTTATCTATCTTCTACTCAAACTCACCTAGGTAAGTGTATCTACTTTGCGTTAATTGTTAAAGTGAAGACTTCTGAACCAAATGTTTTAGTATTTTTTACCCTTCTATACTGTCTACTGTGGACGGAATATCAAGACCCATTTCGCATTTTCATATGTAAATGTATTGTATAAAACTGATACTACCTCGGGAACACATTCCTGAATAATATTTATGCAGCCGAGTCGGAACGAATCTCTTTTAGATAAATATAGTGATCCCATAATAACCCATTGGTGTTATATATTTAGACCATAAACATTCGCTCGTTATTTTTCGTTTCGCATACATTATGCTATATGTCTTCACTTATTCTATTTCCGTGCGTGTTCCTATACGTATACTGTAAGAATGGACAGTCTAGTTTGAGATATTCTCTCGATTCTGTTCTGTCGTTCCAACGTGTTTACAAATTTTAGTATAATCCCAGCCTTAGTGCCAAGTTCCATTCATGTGCGCACTCGTCGTCTATATTCTAAATATTATAGTAAATATATATATGAAATGGGTCTTCTAAATCTTAATAAATCGTCATATAAAATAGGTGTTAATATATAAATAAATATTTAGCCTAAATTCAAACGTTTCTGACGTTCTGGCGAATGACAAGTAAACAAGTTGAATTGTCGGTAAAATTTTTATACTTATGAAAATTATACATGATGAATAGAGTCTTCTATTGAATTATCAATAATTTTATATTGTTTAGTTGTAACTTTGCTCAAAGCTTCTATGAATGGTTCGCCGGTATATAATATTCAGTGGATGTCTTATGTCGTATGCATGGCTACCCAATGTCTTATGAGTTGAACATAATATAATACTCATTGTATGTATGTATGTATAGATTTATTTTGTAGGAACACCAAATATTGACGTGTCAAGTTCTTCAATGGTTAAATAAGTTTTCTATTCCAAAATTTTAACCTTCCTGTGATCGTGAATGTTGCTATAAGTATGTTATTACGTGGGATCTTCAAAGAATATAAAAATTATAATTAAGTATACTTAACTGTTATTTTGCAAGAGCAAAGCAAGATTATTATCCAATGAAAATTTATGTGGTGAATAAATTTTTTTGTGTATTTTATTTGTGGTTGGTTTGTCCTTTTCCCTGAGTAACATTTTAATTGTAAGTTGTAGAAAAACTAGTTGTAACCGTCCACGTAAACAGCGTATGTAGTTTATACTGGAGGTATAGACAAATATAATTATTAATTAAACATATTTTTATCTCCGAATTTTGCTATCAGACATCGACTTTTGTGATGCAAATATGTACCTGAGCAATCCAAACAGCGATAGTAACCAGTTTTACGACAAATATTAATTCTTGAATTAAATTTTAATAAATCTTAACGAGACTTAACACTTACAAAAGAAAACATTCCCGTCGCGTCTGTTTGTCTGAACGTGATAAACTCAAAAAAGTTTGTATGTAGGGGGTAATCTTTAGAACCGCTGGTCGGATTGCCAAAATTCTTTCACTGATAGATAGCTACAATGTTCCTGAGTCGTGAAATGGAGCCGAGCAGCGGATGAACCGAGCGAGAGTAGCTAGTAACAAATAATTCGATTAATTATTACGATAAAGACGTGTCGTTTTTGCGTCATATATACTTAGATATATACCTTAGTTACCACCTTACCTAAGTAACCTTAACACTCAAAATACTTATTAACTTGTTCCATTGTAATTGGTTGGAAAAATACCTACTAACGTTTTTATTTATGGCTGAGTCACCATCCCTATTCGAAAGGAACGTATAGTGTACCTATCGATTATATTTCTGGTTTGAAAAATAAATATTTAATAATAAAAACGAACCAGAATACTAGACCATGATAAAAATATCACGGTACACCATCCGTAATAGCATCCGTGTTCTGTTCTGTTTTCCACCATACATACATATAGCCAATATGTGTCCACGGCTAAGAAAATGCCTCACTTCTAAGAAAGGGCGTGCCAAATCGCCAGGATTTACAAAATCATTTCGAAACAATGTTAGCAGTTTGACTGCACGGTTGGCGCGGTGGCTGGGCAACTGGCTAGCACGCAACGTGTCGCAGGTTGATTCCAGCATGAAACCACTCTTTGTGATTCACAAATTGTCGTTCCGGGCCTGGGGGTGATGTGCATGTAAAATTGCTTGGTTGTCCTCCTATGGGTACTAGAGTGGGCCAACGAGAAACAGAAAAAAAAACTTTATTAGTGATTAATTTTTTTATTACTTAATAATAATTAACTTTTTAGAAAACTTAAATCAATTTTTGGGAAAATCAATTATTCGAATGAATATATTTATGTCTTTCTCGACTTTTATATTATATTATCTTTGGTAAAACGTAATAGAGCCTAAAAAATAAATGCCTTTAATACCCTAAAGCCACTCGATCCAGCAATAGAGCTAGATTCCGGAGCCTCCAAAAGTCTAGACCAAATCAAATCAAATCAAATTCTTTATTTCAAATAGACCAAAAAAGGCACTTTTGAACGTCAAGCAAAAAAGATATCATAAGATTTAACTTTATATGTTTGTGTCAGTCTGTCCGTCTGTCCTCAAGTGAAGCTATTTGCTCGTTCCAAAGTGTAGATTCCTATGGAGAAGAACGAGCAAGAAACTCCATGGTTACTCTTTTTCAATCACACACACACAATGCATTGTTACATAATTTAGATAGTTCTATTATGTGAGAACAGTGTAACACTAGTGTTTAACCAAAGGATCCGAAAAAGAAATGAACCTCAGGGACAGCAACTTTAGACAGTCTCGAGTTGACCAGTCCCAATAGGCGGCGTCCGTTTACGAACATGACACGTACACCAGCACCGCCCAACTCAACCATATTATAGGGAACCGAGCGGTCCAGTGCCCGTGCCACTGCCAATGAGACTCCTGAGTGAGCATGACAACTCCCAACTGACACAAGTACCAATATACTATAAGTCTATAAGTCTAACTCAATTATAATAAGTTACAGGGCTCTCACATTTACAAAAATCCAGTTTATCAACAATTAACAACATGGTGAATAATTTAATAATTGAGATCAAAATTCCTCTTAACCTTAACAATTTTTATCCTGTGCAGTCAAACCAGCCACCCTCCAAGAATTTTTATCTTCTATATAATCATTTAGTTTGTAGTATGCTTTCCCACATAATACTTTCTTTATACATAATTTAAATTTACTTTCATTAAGATTTTGTATTTCAGTTGGGATTTTATTATAACATTTAACACATAATCCCATGAACGACTTATGCACTTTTGCTAATCTAAATAAAGGCTGACTTAATCTATTTCTATGTCTCGTAAGATAGTCATGTTTGTCAGATACTTTTACAAATAGCTGTAGGTTTTTCCTAACATACATAATGTTTTTATAGATATATTGACATGGTACGGTCATAATGTTGTTCTCCCTAAACTTTTCTCTGAGAGATTCACGACGACCTAAGTTAAAGATAGCTCTGACGGCACGCTTTTGTAAGATAAAGATAG